TTGCTGGCTCCCTTTCTTGGATTGCTGGCTCCCTTTCTTGGACTTTCCCAACTTGGGACCTCTGGGTATACACTATGGGTATACACCACATACACACACGCGCGCGCGCACCTAGCACGCACGCATCTTTATGTAATCCAATTTAGTAGTAATTATTTTAATTATTCACTTTGTTGGAGTTGGGCGGCGCTAGTATCGCACTTCCCATAATCCCCTACGGGTCCAATATGTCAGCCTCCACTTGATTTATATGTTTATATCTACGTCCTCGTTTTTTGTGTTCTCCATGTTAACTTTAAGAGACTACTGAAATACATTATCAAAATAGGGGAACATGTCGTCTGTTTCTCGGGCGTGGTTAAGGTCTATTAGGCTGGCAATGCCACTAAACTCATACGGTTGCTGCAGTGCCATGAATCCGCGCCCGCTAAGGTTACCACACGTGCTGTGCATTCAACAGCAACGATCGAAAACTGATAATAGTGAACAAAACGAGCTCTTCGTTCCAGTATCAATAAAACCGTCCGTAAATGACGATAATATTAATGTTGGGGAAGAACTAGGGGGCCAGCTTAATAAGGGTAAGCAGGCACTGAGTCTGAAGTACTACTAGTACTAGTAGTAGTACTAGCATAATTTCAATTTTCATTCATACTTTTAGTCAGTCATAGCAGATCAGTCATATTCATGAAATCTATGCATGAAATATACATGCGTATCAAAACCATAGTTATACAATAGAAGCCGTGTTAGAGGATATCTCTATTATCCTCTAACAGACCACAGACTATAGACCAGACATCTGTCTGAAAGTGATGCTTTTTGGCATCTCCATACACCGATTGACAGTTCTGCGCCTATGTTCTCAGTGTTCGACACTAACCCACGTCCGACCGACCTAGTCGGGTTAATGCTTGGTCCGGTCGCATACAACCAGAGTGCTAGTAGCCTGACTGGTCGTGTTAGAATTGGTCATATAGTACTCGCCCATACTGTGCCATAGAGTTACATGACATCATTTCACACCCTTCTGCCTTATAATTCACATTTGTAATTACAAAATGCACAATTTTCACAATGTCAGTGCAAGGCAAAACATCGAATCTTTATTACGGTGTTCGTGCTTAAAACAATAGCTGTCAGTGTCTAGCCCATTAATCCAGCGTGCACTGAAAGGTCACCTCTGGCTAGACCTGTTCGCGGCCGCACTGTTTGTCGCAGAGCGTGTACATTGTCTAGCAGAGCGTGAGGCCGGATACCAGTCTACCCTTCGGCAAAAACAATGTGGCTTGCTGCCAGACGATCGATAAACCGTGCGGCCGCTGCCTGTGTATGCCGCGCGTGATTTAAAGCACGGGAACGGGGAAACAACGCTCACACAAGCTATGATCTGTTCGGTGTGTAGCTCAGTAAACTATAGTGCAGCTTGCTAACCAGTACTCATAAACGATGGCTTTACGTCAGGTGACAGGTGACCGTGTAATAGTATTGCAGTTAAAAATACATACTTTATTATTCATAATTATGTCACTAACAGCATCTATGAATTCATACGACGACACACTCTTATATCGAAATAAAGTTTTTCATAACAATGGTCTGAGTATGGGCTAGTGAAAGTTACGTCAGGCCTAGTGGTTTTCCTAAGTTACTAGCCCGGTGGTCTAGTGAAATAAAAAGTTAATGTTGAACCCTGGTTCTGCGCCAGTAGTTTCGCATCTCCGCGAGAGCCCGGATGTACAAGTAAACTCCGCCATGTTGTTTATCTCGATGCGTTGTCTACCTTGCATATGCAGGTCGCTCTCCTTTGTGTCGAAGAACAGTGCACGTAGCAGGGAATAGAGCACCGATAATGGATGACCTGAGTGATATGACACTTGATACATTTAAATTATGGTCAATTCATGCTCTAAAAGTCTTTCTTAAGCCAATACGATCCGTTTGAACAGCCCATCACACTACACGTTTCACACGAGTAAAGAATTTTACTCGCAATTCTGGGACGGAATCTCCTCCCGACCTTTGATCTTGGGCTTAAGCGCATGCGCAGTGTTAAACTGTCAACGGGTGTATTGACTGCCAGTTATAGTAACTTATACAGTAAAACAACTTCCATAAAACAGACACCTAGCTGTCTATGGAGCACAGCTTAGCGGTTATGTTGATTGATCCATAATACAGAGGTTTGACTGAAGTCACCTATTGTTATATCTTAAGGTGACGTAACTGGTTTAGCACAAAACATAATCACAAGATCGGTAATTGATAACTAATATATCATGGTTATAAAACAATAGCCTGAATAGGTGATGTAATAACAACACTAATTAAGTTAATACTATTGTGAAAATGATGTACTTATGTGAAACATGAATGCAGACCAGGCATTTTGCAAACTGCTGTAATAAGTTTGCTTTTTTAAAATAATTTGCAGCGGATTTACTACGAGTGCTGAATATGTTTTACAAGCGACCTGAGATCAAGCGGCTGTGTCAGGATAGTGGCCTTGATAGTATGTATGAAGTCCTTATACTGACTGTGGTGAATGGTCTTTGTTTATACGAGTTCCTGCAACCTGTGCCAATACCATGACTATCAGACCAACCAATAACTCTACTTCTACCTAGACCATTATAACTGTGAATGTATTTGCAGTTTATCTTCTGTTACCACACCAACCAATAACTGGAATGGTACCCATTGCCATTAGAACTGCGACTTAATTTGCAGTTTATCTTCTATTATTACTGACCGCCATGATTACACATCTGCTAACTCATGCTACTACTACTATGTAAGTGATTGGACGATCAGCATAGCATTGTGTGTAACGTGAACATGGTTTTGTTCAAGAGCAGCTCGCCTGTTTCATCAGTCCTACATCAGCTTTCGTAGATACTGCATGGAGGTGGAGAGTCTATCAGCCGAGCTTCACATTCTCCTCACCGACATTATAAACAACTCTGGTAATTATAGCCACATCATTCTGAATTGTTAGTGATCAGAATCTTTAGGAGCTATTGGAATTTTTAATTGCACTTGCCATCCTTGACAATAGGTATGATTTTTGATAGAAGATTTTGTGTTTGTTTAGTGTGAAAAGTTTTCTGTGAAGAGATTATTTAGCTGGAAATGATTCACAGGTTTTAATGTTGAATACGTGATTTTTTGTGCCAAAAAACATGTATGAGTGTATGAATAATTTTTTAGGTCACGTGGATGACATTTTCCCATATTTCCTTAAACATGCCAAGCAGATTTTCCCACATCTTGAGTGTATGGATGATTTAAAGAAAATCAGTGACCTAAGATTGCCTGCGAACTGGTGCGTAATGTTGAGCAAATTTATCTATGTTCAGCTGTTGGAATTAGACTTGCACAATGTAAATTATATGCTTAGTATGTAGGAAACCTAATGGCACTAGGTTAACGGTGTTAAAATAATTACTACAGGCCACTTACTTTTTCTCTGCATAGACTTGGTCATAGCAACACTTGTTACATTTGTTAAGATACATGACACACCCTTGTCTGCAAAAATACTTGATCTGTATAAAAGCATCGCGGTGACATATAACACTTTTGCAGGTACCCAGAAGCCAGAGCTCTGCAAAGGCGGATTATTTTTCATGCTGGCCCCACAAATAGTGGGAAAACGTACCATGCACTCGAACGTTATGTCAACGCCAAGTCTGGGGTGTACTGTGGCCCTCTTAAGATGCTTGCTGTAGAGGTGTACCAGAAGACCAACGACAGGGTATGCTAACCATGTGTCACATATTATTGTGAAGTGTAAATCTAGCTGACACGTGCGTGTATGTGCGTATACGTGCGTTTGTGTGCGTGTGTACGTGCGTGTGTGTGCGTGTGTGTGCGTGTGTGTGCGTGTATACGTGCGTGTATGTTCGTGTAAGATTGCAAATCAGCTCCGTTTGTGTTCGTTGTGCTACACACGGCTGTGCGTGTGTTAATTATGCGTCATTAACGTCTTTAAAGTAGTCCCCTGACATAGTGCTAATGGGCGAACTAGAATGCAATCGTTGGATGTTAAAGCCACAATATGCGCATCTACACGCTAATTTCTCCAGTACTAGACTAGCAAATACTTCGTGACATGCATAATCACACTACCTTATGACAAAATAAACTCTAGTTCCTCCCATAATGCAAGCTGGATCAGCGAGG